TTTTGTTTTAAACATCAAGTAATTTGATGATTTTCAGAATCATGTTGGGATACAATCAACCCTAGTGTGAAGTTATTTCATTATAATGGCAATTAAATACTTATTTGTTATATCATAAATCAGTGCTTTTACTTTTCACCTTTTTTTTTCTTTTTTTTTTAAAGCAAAGGTATGTTTAACAGATTCAAAATAATATTCTATATTGGCTTCAGTGTATTACTTTCACCTTCTCTAAAAATAATATTAGCATTACAGGGATGGTTTGCAAAGTTGATAATTTTGTTGAATGAAGTGATTTAGGAATTCCCTCTTCAGTACTTGTCAAGTTCATCATTCCATCAATTATAGTTTTGTTGCAAGTGTTTTTTATCATTGTACTTACTGTAATAAACATTGATTTCAGAATGTGAAACTATTTTAACACCATCTGAATTTCATTTCACTGAATATCATCATTGATGTCAGAACTAATAATGGTAATATTAATAAGAAAATGAAAATAATATAGTATAATAATCTTTTGGCACCAGGGTTGGCATATACGCACATGGTATGTCCACTGTGATTTTAATACATTAATTGCATTTACACACAGATGGCTTCACAAGGACTAAGTCACTCAGGAGTCAATTATTAGTCCTACCTATCTCATCTGTTTACCCTTTTCCTTGATTCTGAAGATATCTTTTAAAAGTGTTAATAGCCATTACTATTGTTGATAACATAATGAATATCAAAATTTCAAAAATAATAATAATAGTATTAGAAAAAAAAAATTATAAGAGAATTCAGGGAAAGAGGAAAGAGGATGGGGTAACAGTGACCTATAAATTTACTCCTTGGTGGCTAAACACATGCAGAGCCATCTATGTGTGAAAACTATACAACAGTGCGCATTACATGTTCCTGGTGGCAATGGGTTATCAAATTATTATTGTTATTTTTTTATGATCATTATCATTATTATTATCATTATCCTTATTCTGATCATTATCACTACCATTACCATTATCATAATTATTGTTCTTATTATTATTTTCATCATCATATTTTTTTATTATTATTATTTTCATCATCATATTTTTTTATTATTTTTATTATCATCATTATTATTATAATTTACTGTGAATACCATCATTAGCATTATTATTATTACTGTTCCTATTATTAAAATGTTAGTATATGATTATACTGCCTTAACACTCACAGTTGCAAATTGGTTTATTTTCTTAAACAATTTATAGTTTGTATTTATTTTTGTCCTATTCATACTGTATGTTATTTTTTACCATCATCATCATTACTGTTATTATTGTCATTATTTTTTTATTATCATATTATTCTGTACATTATATTATTATCATATTATATTTTAATATATTATCATTATCATCATCATCATCAATCATTAATCATCATCAACATCATCATTGTTATCATTATCATCATCATCATCATCATCATCAATCATTAATCATCAACATTATCATCATCACCATCAATCATCATCATTACCATCATCATCATCATTTTCTTTAACATTACGGCAGAAAAGTTCACTCACCACTAAATAGGTTTACTGAATGGTAAGGTAACAGTTTCATCTTCAGATTTATGAAAATGTCCAGGAAGATTTCGAAACTGTTGCTCCTCCATTTTCTATATCTATTTTGTTTATAGTGGTTTTTTTTCCTGTATATTGTTATCCAGTGTTTTTTTTCTTTCTCTTTACTATTAATTACTACTGCTGTTATGATTACTAATGGCATTTTTAAGTCATCATCACAATCATCACATAGGGTACCTATTAGAATTTTTCTGATCTTATTAATACAACAGTGCTTGATTATTCACAATATATAACATAAAACTCTGTTTATGTTTAGATTAAAGTGCAACATTCATTCTAGTTAATATTTTTAACGGATTTCTAATAATTTCACCTTCTTTGTATGCGACAATAATCTGGTTTATTTTGTTCTTTTTTAAGAAGCTACATTTAATTTTGAATATTTTGTTTCTAATGAAGTTCCTCTTTTCAAATTACAAAAAATATTATAATCAAATATATTCTAGGTTCTCTTTAGTGTCTTGAATACTCAGTCCATACACTACACACTAAAAGTTATAGATGGTACAATTTATGGTCTTGTAGTGATGAGAAAATTACATTCCTCAAGAGTATAAGATATAATAAAAAAAAAAGTCTTGTTAGATACCTAGGATTGACTTCCCACAAAGACCATGACTACAGCTTTATCTGCTATACAATTCAGGGAGGTTTAGCAACATTATTGTGTGTGTGACATGTTTGGCCTGTAACCATATATATTTGTTTCTTGATATGATATAGTGGAGCTATTTTTATGACCTGGTATCTAGCGTCTGATACCACATTATGCAAAAGAGTTCGGGTTTTCTTTTATAAGAGAGAAGTACTAAAATTTTAACATTGATCCACTGCTCAAGATAAATCACAAGATAAATCAGGTATTAAATTCTTGTCTTTGTCAAAAAAAGCAAGTGACAATATAGCAAAGATGATTATATATATATTCAGTCTCTAAAATATAAAAGAAAGAAAAAGAAATTATGAACAGCACCCAAGCTCTAAAGGTACTCATCCTGTTTCTTGTAAAGCCAAAGAATTTAAATCTGTACTGTGCTTTTTCAGTATTGGAGAAATGGTGCACATGTTGTATATTCAGGACAAGCTGTAGTAGGCCAAGATAAGCAATTAAGGCTTTTGGTATCTGAGTTGGTAATGGTTTCTTGCTTCATATACCTTTGGATTTCTTATTCTGTACTCTGTAGCAATATTTTTATTCAGGATTTGTTTTGAATTACAATAAATACCACTGCCTATGCTGATATTCAATCAACCCTTCTCTTTGTAAATAAAATATTTATAAACAAAGCCTTTTTGGTGTATATGTGTGAGGGAGGAGGGTAGCTGCTGTGAATCAAATACCTATGCTGTCTAATAAATATTTTCTTACACTTAGTGCTGTCTCTAAGAGGCCCCCAGACAGCAAGTTTGAGCAATTTCAGGGATGGGTATTTGCACAAGTAACAATTAGTCAATATTAAGCACAAATATCACTAGATAATATGTCTAACAATGAAATGTTCAAATAGAATTTGAATCGAGAGCATGAGAGGGCCCTCACAAGTTCACAACTCCATGGGCCTTAGTGCATTGCAGCTTCTGCAAATGAACAGTCTTAAGGAAAGTAAAGTTCAATTCACTAAGTCTGAAGCATCCAAGGAAATTTATCTCATATATTGACACAGAGCAGAGGAAGCAATATTTTTTCGAGAAGTGTTAGCTTTTTATTATATAAGAAAAAAGTATTTGCCTATTATGAGATGTCCTTCATGCTACTCTCTTTTCAACCCAATGGCCCCGGATGCAAAAGTATGTCATATGGCTCTATAAGTGCTTAGTCACCAATGAGTCAACTATCAGTACTGTTTAACCATTTTCTTGATTTTTGGAAAAGATTTTTTTTTATAATTTTATTTTTATTGTTCTTAGTACTTCAGTATCATTATAATAATCATAATGCCAATAATGATAAAAACATATACCTTTGTTCCCCAGTACACACATTTCCCCGGTGCCTCTGTTCCTTGGTACCTATGTTCCCTAGGTAAAGAAATAGTATCACACTAAAAAAAAATATTCAAGGGTTTGTATGGATATATTTGAGAGAGAGAGAAGGGGGGGGGGTAGAGGTAGAGAGAGTAATTTAGACCCATTACCACCCCACCCCACCCCACACACACACAGACACATACACATACACACACATTTACACAATCACACACATACACACTCACACACACAAAAACTGAGAGAGAGAGAGAGAGAGAGAGAGAATCATTATACACGTAAATCAACCTCCAAGTGGACTTGCACCTTCTCATATCCAAACTATCTACATCCTGTATGCATTGCATTGATAATATAAACAAATCCATACATCAAGAAGGCATGAATTCCCCTCTAGAGAAACTGACGGATGTTAGAGTTTATTCTATATTTTTGGTGGACCTGGGCAGCGGGATACACAGATACCGGAGAATAAACACAGCTCTCGTTTTCGCCATTCTCCTTACGTGAGTGTGTGTGTGTTTACTCAGACACACACACACACACACACACACACACACACACACACACACACACACACACACACACACACACACAACACACACACACACACACCAAAAGCTGCTGTACATCGCGATGCGCAAATGGCGTTCACAGCAATATATATATATATGTGTGTGTGTGTGTGTGTGTGTGTGTGTGTGTGTGTGTGTGTGTGTGTGTGTGTGTGTGTGTGTGTGTGTGTGTGTACGTACATGTGTGTATGTATATATATACATAAATACAAATATACTTATATATTCACACACACACACACACACACACACACACACACACACACACACACACACACACATATATATATATGTATGTATGTATGTATGTATACCAAGGAGAGAGAGTGGCCTTAGTGCAGGTGAATGAAAGGGGGACCTTGCTAATGGTTTTATTACTGAAAGTAGATATGAGATCTCTAAGAGACCCCCGTGTCCCCGGGGTCGAGGACGAGGTGGTGGAGCAGGACCCTGTGTGGCTTGGCTTGTCTGCCGTCTCTCTCTGTCTCTTGTGTCTGACGGAATATGCCCTTTCATACGGCGGCTCCCTTCGATGGCGGATGCTTACTTACATCGCAGAAGTGCCAAAAGAGAAAGCAGAGTCGACAAGGAAGAAAGGCAGCTGCTGAGGACAAAGGTGTGAAGCGTACCTAGCGGCCTTGCAATGTATTGTGTACATCGCTCGGCCACGCACAAGGCGCATAGGGATAAAGGTTCTGCTTGGCATCATACATATGGTTCCTGGTGATCCGATGGTCGTTAGGGTCGTTACGTACCAGAGTAGCTTCGAAATGAGGTGAAACATTCAGAAGCAAGGAGTTTCTCATCGTCTTCAGAAAGTGAAATATAAGTGTACCAGGTTAGTATAAAGGTCAAAGAGGTGAATGTTTGTCAATCACCTTACTAAGATGCCAGAAATGTAGGGCGTAATAAGAACAACTTGTCACCAGAAGTGTAACGTGTTAAGTGAGTTAATTACTTAAGATTTGTCAGGACTAGCGAGTTCAGTGGAGTACTCATATTGTAGAGAGAAATATTATTTGGACAAGAAGTCTACACTTTCGGGCTAAATATGCAAGTCCTTATAACTTCGGTCACATAGAAGTAGCTGAGTCTGAACTTAGACCTCACCGTCTCGGGAGCGTCAATCGTACTATCGTGTGAGCGTAATTAGTGAGTAAATTCTTGGTCCTTCGTTTACGGTCATGAGCCGGGCATAAAATTGACTTGGGGTGCTAGTAGCTATATAAGCCTGTATAAAACGGTATCAGCAGTACATTGCCATTATTTGCAATTGAAAGACTGCCATCAGTTAGTTGCATATTCACCAAACCTTAAAACTAAGGAAGCATAAATTTCAACATAACTGAGAACGAGTAAGGTATTAGTCAAAGGGATGGCACTTATTACAATTCATGAGTGAATTCCCGTGTAGAGTGGTCAACTATGTGGATTAAAAGATTAAAGCAGGTAATAGACGTGTGAATAAGCAAACGATTAGCAAGAGAAATATGAGGAAAAATAGTGACATACGAAGAAAATACAACATTTACATATTCACAGAATATAAGTGAAGCCGCTAGTATTAATGATGTAATTACTAACTGGCATACCATATAATGAGAAAAAATAGATAACTATATGAATTTGCCAACAATGATCATTAATAATATACGCGGGAACAACCAAATATAACAGTAATCAAAAATAAACTTGAACGTAATTATTTGTTCTGAAAGACATTGAGATATATTAAACTGTTGTGCTGACGAGGGTTCGCAAAGAATTGGCAAGGCGGATGGGGGCGTAGAGTGTGGGAACATAACGTCAGCGTCAGGAAGGTAGCACGTGAGTGGTCAGCACGAAATAGTAGGACAGACATGAAGTGGGAAGGCATGGATCAGAAATGGACTTGGCTGAGCGTTAAGGGAAGTGAGGAGGCACTTCGACAGGAGTACCTTGTCCGCAGAAAGCGTGGATCGGCAACAAGTACCGGCGAGAAGCGTGGCCTCGCAGGGTAGCAGGAATTAACGCTGGTGCTGTGAGGTTCTTGAGCACCGCTTGCCACCAGATATCATTGAGATAGAGTGGCCTTAGTGCAGGTGAATTAAAGAGTTGTTAGTGGTTTTATTATTGAAGCTAGATGTGAGACCTCCAAAAGACTCCGAGTCCCCGGGGTCGAGGACGAGGTGGTGGAGCAGGACCCTGTATGGCTTGGCCTGTTTGCTGTCTCTCTCTGTCTATCAGAATGTGTCGTTTTATGCGGCGGCTCCCTTCGAGGGCAAATGCTTACTTACGTCGCCGAAGTGTCAAAAGAGAAGGGAGAGCGGGCACCTGCGTCCGCTCAAGGAGGAAAGGCAGCTGCTGAGGACAAAGGTGTGAAGTGTACTATCTGGCTTTTCTATGTATTCTATACAGACCGTTGTTTAGAATGTATATATATGTGTATATATATACGCATATATATGTGTATATATGTATATAAATGTATATATACATATATACACACACCCACACACACACACACACACATATATATATATATATATATATATATATATATATATATATATATATATATATTTATATATATATATATGTGTGTGTGTGTGTGTGTGTGTGTGTGTGTGTGTATGTGTGTGTGTGTGTGAATATCTTATATGTACATTATGTATATGTGTATAAATGTATATATACATTTATATAAATATACATATATACACTCATACATGGTCCATGGTCTCTACAGTGTATATATGTGTATGTACATATATATATATATATATATATATATATATATATATATATATATATATATGCATGTATATATATATATATATATATATATATATATATATATATATATATATATATATGCATGTATATATGTATATATATACATATATATATATATATATATATATATATATATATATATATATGCATGTATATATGTATATATATACATATATATATATATATATATATATATATATATATATATATATATATATATATATATATATATGCATATATGGTGTACGGTCTCTACGACGCCGGCACACTATGCCCTTTATGGAACGTCGGATACTTGTTTGATGGGGATGAATCAGTGTCGTGGGACTCTATGTCGCGGTGACTTTTTGACTTTGACTTTGACAAGTTTATTGAGCCAAAGCTTACATCTCAAAGGGATGAGGTAATGTTGGTTATCCTCACCCCTATCTTAACCCATTCCCGCCGGGCATGCCATGCCATGGCCACTGTGAGATTACTTGTTAGATTGTTTTCACACATAGATGGCTACACTTGTACTAAATTACCAATGAGCCAGTTACGAGTACCGCCTGTCTCGCCCGTTCACCCTTTTCTTTGATTTACGAAATATTTTATCTTATTTTGCTGTTACTTATGTTAAAAAACATTATAAAAATTACAATGCTTATGATAAAAATAACACCATCGATATTCATGGCACTAGTGAAAAATACGTGTTTCAAATCAGGCGCTAACAGAGCCATCTATGGGCAGACATTTAACAAAAAAGTATAGAAAATAGGCACAGCATTTTCCCCATTTTTTGTTCATTTTCCCCGGCGGCAATGGGTTAACCCAATGTCAGCGGGTGGCAAGACTACAAAACCATGCCCACTGTAATAAGAAGTTTAACTACTGTCTTTCCATATAGATGGCTCTACAAGTGCTTAGTTCCCAAGGAATTAGCAATTAGTCTTATCTATCTCATCTGTTTACCCTTTTCCTTCATTTTTTTGAAAGCTTCACTTCTATTCTTTTATTGCCTATGATATTATTTTTAAAAAATAATAACAATTTAATAATCATAATACTAATAAGAATGATAACATTGGAAAGAAAAACGCATTTTCCCGCCAATTCAAGGAATGGGGAAATCAGGATCGGTCACTGGGACAATTGATAGACTCCTTGCTGCTGAGCACACGTGGAGCCATCTGTATGTGAAAAAAAAAATCACTAAAATCTAAGGGGGACAGTAAATAAACCCGCTGACACTGTGTTGATAAATTCCTGGGTGGCCTCACATCTCAAATACAGAACTTAGGTATATGAACAGATTAGAATATATACAATACTTAAAATACAAAAGTACAAGTATTCAATGGTTTACATATCAGTAGAGTGATATAACACGATAGTTTTTCACCCTCACATTGATAAGTCCTCATCAGGCCTTTATCGTGTGCTTGTATTTTCCAACCTTTTTTTATCTTTTTAAGAGGATTTCTTTCTCTTGGTCTTTGCACTTTAGCAGTGTGACCTGAAGTTCGCAGAGGATGTTCCTCCCAAAACACTTGCTCATATTTTTCCTTTCTTCCCCTTTACGGTTATTTTACAACCTATACTACAATCTGCAGGACCACAAATATATATTTTTTTCATTTCTGTATCTTTGGGGGGGGGTCATGTATAGCCTTCTCTCCCTTTTTCTGTTCTTCGGCATCTTTGTCCACAACTTGTTTCAGTTTCTTTTCAATAACATCCATTTTCTTCATCATTGTCTGCATCATTTGGATAAATGCGGATATTTCCCTCCCAGAAGTATCCGCATCACTATACCGGGGCATTTCCTTCACTTCCTGCCATTCGTCCTGAGACTGATCATTGCCATTTGGTGACTGCGCCACGCGCGGTGACCCTGCAGCCAGGCGTTGGGGCTCGAAATCACGGTGGTCCCGGTCCATATCTTAAATTTCTCCAGGAAACTCATGGCGCAGTCCTGTGGGAATAGCAATCGTGTCCTGCCATTCACATCGTCACCAAGCTGATTTCCTTCTTCGGTTCCCTCTTCGTTCCTCTTCCTCTTCTCCTTCCGTTCGCATCCATTCTCATTGTCACTGATGTCCACACTTCCTTCACTTCTTTCCCTCTTATCGGATACACTTGCAACATGTCCTTGCGAGGTGAAACTTTTATCCTCCATTTCTACGTTGGAAAGGGGGGACCACGATATGGCAATACTAGCCATGCTGACACATAGGAGGAGGTGATAAATTGCTGGAGGGCCAGAGGCACTTCATCCGCTCCCAGTCTGAGAGGCGGGTAAACACAGGATTCATGGTATCTCTCACAACGGAGGGCAGCACTAAAACTAGTCTTACTTCTACGAGAGATACACCACGATTGTCGCGGTTCCTGTGTTGCGCGAGATGGGTACATTCTGGCATTCCGGTGTCCTCGCATTACCTGGGTCATCCACTGACCATACCTGCCCTCTGACTTCCGCTACTATTTCTATACTGTGAACAGCTGAACTCATGTCTCAACGTATCTCGTTTCTAGCTTTATTACGGAACATCCAAGGAGTGAGATATCATTCAGCATGGAGAACTACGCGGAGCTTCCATAACCACCTTAAAATGAACCCGATGTTTCACTATACGAAAGTCTGACTGACGACTATCCTCCTCCACCTCCAGTCAACGTCCCCGAGACCTATGAAGCCGAGAGTTGGCCAGCATCTCTTTACAAAGGAGAAGGACCATCCAGGCAAAGTTAGTTGGAAATGCGAAGACAGAACGAGAGTTCACACAATAAATTAATGGGGAAATTATGATGTGACAAAATCCCATCCACAGACATCCTTCTGTCCCTTTGAAGGCTGGGTGGAGGAAACACTGGCAGCCATGAAGGAGACTAGAAGTCGGTTGGGCTCTTCTAATACCGACTGCTACTAATCCCTGGAGAAAAAAAGTTTTCAAAATACGAGAATTTCACATACAGGTTTTAAAAGTCCAATGCCAAATTCACTGAATATGAACACACACACACGCACACGCGCACGCACGCACACACACACACACACACACACACACACACACACACACACACACACACACACACACACACACACACACACACACACACACACACACACACACACACACATATGTGTGTATGTGTGTGAATTGATGCTTGAACGTTCGAATTTTAAAAAATACAGTTTTTTAGCTTTTTAGATCATATTACCTCATAAAACTTCCAATGCATTTTTAAAGAAGTTAAAGACAATATTTGTGTATTTTGACCGATCTATTTACTTTAACGTATTTCATTCACATCCAAACGCGCAATGTTTTGGTTCGGAGAAGAAATGTGAAGCAGTCGCAGTTGTACGTATTTCTGTCTGCATTATTTTTGTCTACCATTAATGATTCAGGTTGAAAGAAAGAAATTAGATTTACAAATAATATGAAGTTGTTCAGAAGCCATGCTAAGAGGTTAAAGACATGTATTTTGGTCGATTTTGCAGACATGTATTGTATCTGTTGTTAGCTACCGGTATAAATTGCATGTTGGTTTTGGGTTCATATATTATGTAAAAAATAGTGTCTGTTTCTGTAATAAACAAAAAATGGTTTAGAGTTTTGTTTTAATTTTTTCTTAAGATTTGAAGATTAGCAAATTTGTAAAAAGCGTCAAAAATCGAAGTTGTCACGAGCCGATTATCCCAAGGGAAAATATTTGCATTGGATTATTGTATATGTATATGTATTTGTGTTTTGTAGAAAAGGTATTAATGAGAATGAATATCTAAACAATACATGAGATGTACATCTCTTGTGTTGTGAAGATATTCATTGCCATTCATACCTCTTCTGCATTTATGAACAACAAAACAGTTCATGTATAAGTATATATCTGTGTGTGTGTGTGTGTGTGTGTGTGTGTGTGTGTGTGTGTGTGTGTGTGTGTATATATATATTAGGGGGGACTGGATGAGTATTTAAAAAAATCATTTCTTATTATCAAGATCCAAATTTTATTTCTCTTTTGTTATCTCAGAGTCTTGACTTTTTTCATGGATTTTCGTTGTCTTTTATTCCTCTTTCCTCATGGCTTTTATCAGGTACTTGTTTTTTATTTTACTTTTTTTTTTTCCTTATCATAAATGAAACCACAGTTTTTTTCTGTGCTATTCTCCTGCTCATATAATTGAAATATTCTTGTTGTTCCCTTTGCAGGCAGTATCATTAAAATACAGTCTCTCTCAACAATAGCAAAGTCTCCATATTGTATCTTGTTATTTAATATTTTCAGAACTGACAGTTTCCATATTATATCCTGTTATTTAACATTTTCAGAACTGACTGTTTCACCTTAAAGATGATAAGATTAGTGTCATCAGGTCTGTGTGGCTGTACAAAGTATTTTAAACACCGGAAAATACTGCCAGTATGCTACTCAAGTCCAGTACATTATCAAAATCAGTCTTTTAATAAAGTTAATATCTGGAGGCTCTATGGCACGAGGTAAGAATACTGCTTTATTTTATTTGTGTATAAATTTAATTTCATTATAATAAATTTATTCGTGTCTCCAAGTGAAAGTATGTGACTTCACACTTGCCTATTATTTATTTGAAGTTAAAATGTATTGTAGAGAATATTTTTGTAATATGTTATTTGTCCCCAAAAATCTTTATTAACTCTTTAACTAAATTTTACCTTTTCTTATTATTTAATTTCTCTACCATATTATTTGTGTAGAAAGGCAAGATTTCATGACAGTTTCTCTCCCATTAGTAATGGTCAAGATCCAAGCTTGAAAAGGTTTCGAAGTTATAAGAGAATATTTGCAATATCCCTTTTCACTGGAACTTTCATACTTGCTTGGTATTTGAAGAAGGTAAAAGGAGAGAAATTGAGGACACTTCTTGAAGACTTCACTCGGCTTCCTGTTGATGAATCTCTCTTTGGTGCAGAAGTGTCCTTATACAGGTAGGTTTTGGTATAAGATATAAATATTATTACACACACACACACACACACACGCACACACACACACACGCACACACACACACACACACACACACACACACACACACACACACACACACACACACACAACATAAATTTCTTTCTATTATATAACCAAAAAATGTAAAATATCCCTTGTATAATTTTGGACAGAACCCTCAAAGCAAGTGTACATGAAGTCATTCTCCAGTCAGGATGAATCAGATAAGAGCAGATTTCTATAACAAGATGTTGCATGCCCTCTGTTCCTCAGACACAAAGGCTATGTCTTCCCTGGGCAGCTGGTCATGTCAGGTGTATTTAAGCAGCTGCCAGACTTCCAGTTTAGGTCCAGTGATGTCATTGTTGCTAGCTATCCTAAATGTGGTGAGTCACTTATTTTATCATTTGTTTTTGTTGTCTATTCAGTTATTCATAAAGTAATGATTTCTGTTGTTGTTGATTTTTGTTATGCATTTGCTTGTTATCATTTATGAATACTTATTACTGCTTATGTAGCTACAGTGTCCAAATAATTTCCTCCTCTTTATTATTATTATTATTAATATTATTATTATTATTATTGTTATTATTGTCATTGATTTGATATCCAAAAAATAGTGATCAGCTAATTTATGAAGCTATATTTTATTTCACAGTAACACGGAAAATAATGAGGAATGATTATATATTGCACTACATTATAAAATCCTTGATTGATGATGTTATTTATGACATCATTTAGATATGGTACTAAATTACATACAATCCAGGATATATATTTATAGTAAATATTTTCAGGAACGACATGGATGCAAGAAATTGTGTATATGCTTACTCATAACTTTGAGAAGACTGGTGCAGCAAATGAAGTTTTAGAGACAAGATTCCCCTATCTGGAGTACCCATATCCAGGCATAAAGTCAGTCGCTGCCAAACCAGGACCTCGGTTGATCAAGACCCACCTGCCCTTGGCACTGTTACCACCTTCATTTGACAATAGTAATGCAAAGGTAATGTTTAGTGTGACACCCATCTCTATATATAACTTTGTGGATGAGCTGTATTTTTGCCCTTATTACATTTAACATCATTTTACTGTGCCTGGTAGCTGTATTGTAAGAGAGAGAGAAGGAGAGGAAGAGGGAAAGGAAAGAAAGTGAAGGGGAGGGAAAGATGGAGAGAAAGAGAAGAGGAGGGACAGAGAGAGAAATAGAGAGAGGGAGGGAAAAAGGGAGATAAAGAGAGGTGGAGGAAAAGAGGGAGAAAAAGAGAGGGGGAGGGAAAAAGGAAGAGAAAGTGTCTGCAAATTCCAAGTCTAAAAGAGAGAAGGAAAAAAGGAAAGAGAGGTAGAGGGAGAGAAAAAGAAAGTGTGTGTGTGTGTGTGTTCTTGTTGTTGTTGTTTTTGTTGTTGTTTTTGTGACATCTAATTCTGAGTGTTTCCCTTTGCAGCTGATTTACATCACCCGTAATCCTCGTGATGCAGCTGTCTCCTACTTCCACTTCATGAAACTTTTGACAGCTTGCAGTTACCAGGGAAGTCTATCAACATTCTTCAAGATGTTCCTGTCTGATATGGGTAAACTAATGATTTACACTTGCTTTTTATTTTGTACATTTTTTTAAAGTTCTTCTTGTTGCTCTTGATGTAAAGACTTATTATACTTACCACTATTCATCTCCTCCCACTCATTCAGCAAGCTAGAGCTGTTTAGATCCTCTTTAGAAAAATGAATATTTCTACCTCATTCAGGCATCTTACTACAATACAAGATTTTTATTTTGCATTTATTTCCTCTAATTTCTAATATATTTTGGATATACTTCTTATTCGTTTTAAGCTTGGTGTTTTCTATACCTGGATCTCTGATAGTAACTTAATTGGCTATCAGCCTTGCCACAGGTCACCTAACACACAAATCATTCACTTTCTGTAAATCACTAATATGAATGAGGATAATCATTTGTTTTTGTTGATCTCCTTGTGGCAAGTTTTTAACATTATTAAAACATGGATAGATAGAAGCCAAAAAAAAAAAAATACTTTCTTACATCTGTGATATTCATGTCAAACAATGTTTTTTTCTGGTTACAGTTATGTATAGCCCTTTCTTTGACCATGTGCTGGGTTACTGGAAACGCAGAGAACAGTCAAATATTATGTTTGTTAAATATGAAGACCTCCTTAAGGACCCAGTAAATATAATTAAGAAAATTGCTGAATTTTTAGAGGTAAATATAGATCTGTTTTACTGTTGAAACATTAATTTACAATAAATTTCCTTATAATGGATGTAATAACTGTTCATATTTTTCCCCAAGCCAAGGGCACTTTATGAGATTCATTGATTCTTGTTTTATAACATTCATTTCTCAAGGTGGAAGTGTGTGATGCAGATGTGGTGTACGTAGCACACTCAACATCATTTAAGTCTATGTCTGCAAATGCTAGTGTGAATTATGAGCATTGGAAGGATCTGGGATTTGCACACAAGGATAAAGGAAAATTCTTAAGGAAAGGTAAACATTAAGTGTATCTTTTTTTTTTCTTTTATAAGTGGAATTACATAAAAGAGTTCGCTGAATATCAGCTTAGCCTAAATTAGTAATCAGTATAAAAAAAATGTAGTATATTTTATCACTTCCTTTGTAATATAGTACTTAGAGCAGTCACTTTTTAGTTCCCTCCACCACACCCTTTGTGTTATACATTTATATCTTTTAACAGGTAAAGTAGGTGATTGGCAGAACCATATGACCGAAGCAGAAGTTGCAGCCTTTGAAGAGTGGGAGAAGAAACATTTGGCCAACTCTGATCTTACTTTTACATTTACATTACCAGAGGCAGAAATTGATGTGGCTTGATAATAAAAATGCAGGAGTAGATCATTAATATATATATAATGTTTTATGTAGTCTTATAAATATTTACAAACTCAGAAGTATTGCATTACTGAACAATAATTTTCATGTAAATATTTTTAATATATATACATTGTGATTATCATATACAAAAGATTATATGTATAAATTAAAATAAAGAGACTGAGATATATGGTCTTATTAAAATAATACCTACAACATACAACAGTTGCTGTAGGGATTAGTCTCAAATAACACAGAATATAGTTTTCTGAAAATTTCATTTATTTTGCCAGTTATATTCCACTTTGAAGATGGCCAGATTTCTTAATGGTACAGTTCTCATATTAAATTTACAAAATTTTAATTTGATGTTTCATGTCCATAAGTATTGTCCAGCAGAATATGGTAGTATTGCATTGAAATGATTGTTGTGAAAGTCAAGTACAAAGCAGTTCTTTGAGAGTCCTGCGATAGTCAGGTTGATTATTGCAATTAGAAATAATTTTCTGTTATAGCTATAACTTCAACCATAACAAGTGCTGCATTAACATCATTAAGAAGAAAATATGCATAGGTTGAATATTTTCAAAGAGCAGTATATTACCTTACCCCACACTGGATGTAATTCAAGATACCATCTTTACATGGCACAACTCTGATATCTTCTTAGTGAATACCCCTCTTCCACATGTCCACGTCCTTTTTGATACAATCCACCATTGCGGTCGTCGCTTAGTCCTAGGCGCCTTCCGCTCCTTTCAAGTTGAGAACCTGTACACTGAGTCAGGCCAGCTGTCTCTCTCTCTACGCTATACCCTTCTCTCTCTCCGATGTTATGCTCTATTCTACCAACTTTCCGTCACCAAACTATCCCACGATCCTTAATTCCTACCTTTGCTTCTTCTCCATGTATACCTATTCCTCTCTCCGTTAGCGTGGATACTCTCCTCTCTCATTCCCCCTTTCCCCATCTCCGACTTCTTCCGTTTTCTATCCACTCCATTCCTCCATGGCTTATACCTTAACCCTGCATTTGTTCCTCTGTTTTCCCTGACTCACCAAAATTAGATATCCCCCTCTATTTTTCTGATCCATTTCCTTGGCCATGTCTCCACTCATTCCTCAAGTTTTCATGTTTACACTGATAGCTCCAAATCTTTATACCCGATGGCAATCTTCCTGGTCAAGTTTTCGCACTAATAAATTATATACTGCACTGTAAAACTATTAATCTCCTCCTGGCCAGCTCCATTTCGTCGGAACAAACGATGAGTGACGGCTCTCGCTCGTATGGGCCACACCCGCCTAACACACTCCTATCCGATATCAAGTTCTGATCTGCCCCTATGTTCCCTATGTAATGTTCCTCTTTCAGTTCCACACATTCTGTTGTCCTATCCAAGCTTTACTACAGCCCGTATCTCTGCTTTCCCCCTCCTATCTTCCCTCCACCGACCTCGCAACCTGTCAGACATCCTTACGGAATCCCACACTTTCTGCTTTGACATTCTGTTCTCCTTCTTCAGACACATACATATCCTTCACTTGATCTAATCCCACCCAATCACTCATCGCCTCCTTTACCCATCTTTAACCTTTCCAATACTACCCTAGACTGTTGACGTATAACTAATCACTAACTCAACCCCCCCCTTACCCTTTCTAATACTATCCCTATAGTGGTACATGACCTTAGATTATCACATTTATTTTTGCTTCTAACCACGAACCATCATATAATTCTTAATGAAAAGTACAATGATCGCGTATAACGAGAATGAACACCGATTGTAATGAAACGTTGAACGCCAGAATCCAAAGAATGAAGCATAACATATACATGGAAAAAAAAATGTCTTCTGCATGAAAATGGTGCGAATGAACTTCATTATTATGCGTGTGTGTTTTGTGAGTATGTCTATATGTACTATCACAACATAATATACTTGTTTATATATGTATGTACACACACACACACACACATATATATATATGTGTGTGTGTGTACACAAACACACACACATATGACATGTATATAACTGGAACATTCTTTTATGCAACACGTGCCCTTGCACTCTGTTGTCTCATTTGCACGGGCAACAGCACCAGGCAGCTTTAGTTTCTTACTTCCCGAGGCACCGCTGATGACCGCTTACGGAGACACGCCCTTCACAGCATCATAAATGAACCATAAAACACCTGAAAACTAATTTCTTACATTTGCGCTTTCCTGTTTAAAAATTTCTCTTTTCTGCTATGGTAATGTTAATTCCTTCCCAGACTTTAATCGGCCATGTGCCTCATGAAACTTTGCCTTAAATCACGCACCCATTGTAAGTTTTACTGGTATTTCTGTTTTAAGGCTCGATTTATACACAACAGAGAAAAGATAGAATTAGAAATGCAGATATTCAGCAAGAAGTATAAAACTTAACGACTTTTAACGAAACAAATGTAAACTACATAATGCAGCTGAAATATTTATCCTTTTTCATGTTACTTTTAGTAGAAAAGTATATGGATAGCAAATGTCCATCATGACTATTAATCTACGCGAAGCACTGGGCTCCGGTACACTGCCACTGGCTCTCAGTCACGTACTTGTTATTCAGTATCTTGTTACGTGTCCGGAAATTACCTGCAGGGCTGGGTGTACCGAGCGGATTGCCAGATTGAAAGGCACGGATGAG